ACCCATTTAAAGCTTAAGAAGAGTAGAAAACAGTAAAATGTGAAGACTATGTGGAAAGTACCTTTTACCACACTGAAGGGCTACAGATGGGAGTTAATTAGCCACAACAGTTTTACCTTAACTAATCCATCAGTTAATTATCATTTCTGAGCCTCATTACACACACCTGACCATCAGAGGCACTTCGAGGTCGGTCTCTCATGGCTCTTCTGGAGAATAGATGTGGAAAAGGGCTTTCTACTCCGATGTGAGGAGGAAGGGCTTTGCATAAAATAGACCCACAAAAGCTGCTACTTTTCTTAAAGCACTCTGACTGGTGGTGTTGGTGTGCATATTCAAATTAGAAACATTATGAATTAAGAGGCTGTGGGATACTTAGCCACTCTTGAAGAACACTCTAACAAGAGCAAGACAATATATATTTCACTCCAGAGATGGAGGTGTACATGTGCATCCTCATAGCCATCGTCTACAACTGTCATCAGGCACCTCTAAGTTTACAGTAAAGAAGCAAAACCAGTAACAGGCTCCCCTCACTCTTCTGTTTTACAAATGAAATAGTGTGCAATGTACTAATATTAGAAGCAATTTGCTCTTGGTTGAACACTATTGTGTATTACTATATTTGAGATGTTTAAAGGAATATTGAAAACTTAAGCTTTGAAATTTAGAATAAATTTATTTCAAATTACAAAGTTGTAAATAATAAATAATACACATTATTTATTATTTATAATAATAAATAAAATAATAAAATATAAAAGGGAAAATAATAAATATTCTGGCAACTGTCCCTAAAAAAAAAATCAGTCAGGGAGATGGCACTGTGGCTCAAATCGTAGAGCACTGGCCTTGAGCTGAAAAGCTCAGGGACAGTGCCCAGTTCCAGAGTCCAAGCCCCAAGGTCAACAGAAAAAACTAAAAATAAAATAAAATCAGTCAGTAACTTATGATTTTTAATGGCTTATAGATACTATAATTTGAGAAACATAGAGTTTAAGATACAGCAATAGAGAAGGTCAAGAGTTTGGGAAATAGGTTAGGAATGGATTAAGACTAACAATAGAGATACATTCTTCGAATAAAAACAGAGATACAATCATCCTGTTCAAAGATAAGAAATTATTTCAACAGGAGCAATAATAAATCCATCATCAAGCAATTCCACATACTGGTTTATAGACCAGACCTGCTTGGCCAACTTGGTCTCAGAGGTGCTAAAATAACTCAAGAAGTAAGGGGTATGTAGACAAATTAAGTAACCACTGAAAGTACAAATGTGCTGGAGGTACTGTGCACCTTTGTATTCGACTGTAGATGGTTTCCCAAGGTATCCCAATGAGAAAATGTTTTGAAAATTGTATCCTCTATATTTAGTTGTGTCATTGCTCCTCTGGGTTTATTGACTGGCCCTTTTCTCAGCCAGCTTCCTCAATTCGTTCCTGTACAAAGAACCCGAAGAAGAGGTACTGACCATTGATGTCTCTAATGAGTTTTGCTCTGTTAAGGGGTGTCAAACTCCTAAGCAGTATGAGGCAATGGTACAGAGATAAACTCTTGAGAGCCAACTAATGCCGCTCCTAAAATTTCACTCTGCAGCCTTCCTTTAGGTAAGCAGGAGCACTGATTGTGCCCTTGGGCTTGGATCTTTCTTGGCTAATGAGTATCAGTACTGCATGAGTCATTTTGAGGTGTGGACTAAGCAAACATCTTTCACTCCCAGAAGCATATTGAAAGACAAGGTAGAGGAAATTTCAGCTCAGAGAGGGAATCACAGACAGATTACAACTCAGGTATTTGTCATAGTCTCCAAAACTTTGGAAGTATTTGTTAAAGAATGGATGAATTCTCTGAGTTTGGAGAAACCTACTTTGGAATTACATTCCCTTGTAAATGTATCATTAGATACTTATTCATCTTGTATTTCTTTATCGTGGTTCCCTAGAACGTAAAAATAAATGTGCAAACAACACCTACCTTGCATGAATCTGTGGATTAATCCATTTCTAGGGATCTGCAATTTTATGAAGAATTTTATTGCTGTTATCTTCTGTCCTGATTCATTCTCAAGTCAGTTATTTGTAGGAAGATAACAAAATATTAGTAATTACCAAAGACCTTTATACATTTTAGAATTCCAGAAAAGTAAGCATATTGCTCATTTACATATATATTTGTGTCTTAGTACTGTCAGATGTTTTTTGAGTAAAATCTATTTACAAACTTTTGTCAAGGATCTGCTCCACATTGTATTCACTAATCATAAAAAACGGCATAACTTACTATATTTTTTTTTATGAAACACACACACTGAATTGGACATTTCTTTCAAAACACATACAAGTTTAAGGATAACAATGCCCATAGAATATTATTGTTTTTTTATTATTTTAGAGGTACTGGAGCTTGAAATTAGGGCTTTGCTCTTGCTAGACAGGTGTTTCTTTTACTTGGCCCACACCTCTAGCTCTTTATACTATAAATATTTTTGATATAGGTGTTTACTTTTTGTCTGGGCCAGATTGAACCACAATCCTCCTATTTACATTTCTTGCTATGGCTGGGATATCAAACACATGCCACCATGCCCAGCATGTCTTCTTAGCTGAGAAACTTTATGTCCAGACAGGCCTCAAACCATGATTCTCCTAATTGCTACCTCCTGAATAGCTTATAGGTAAGAGCCACCAGTGCCTTGCTAGGTGGTGTTGCACTCTTAATTTTTTAAACGTTTAAATGCATGCTTTATTAAATTATATATTCACTAACTAGGATTACATATATTTATGGAAACAATGCACGCTCCAATTTTGAATATAGTTAGAAAGATTAAATAAACCTAATTAACATAACCATTGCTTCAAATCTTTTTGTGATGAAACATTATTTTCTTAATGATACTGAAATATTCAGAGCTCAGTTTTTAGCTATATTCACCATACAATAAAACTGATCTTAAAGCAAAAATCAAATGTATTCTTCATGCTTTGCCCTTTGGCTATGGTCTCCTTATTTCTCTTGTCCCCTCAGAGGCTGCCACCACCATTCTGCTTTCTGTTTCACTGAGTTCAGATGTTTTAGATTGTACAGGTATGTGAGAACCTGTGATATTTGTCTGTTGTTTTTAAGCCTATTTCACTTAGCATGACATCTGGTCCCACTCATGTTTGTGTAAATGAGAGGTATTCTTAATTATTTCTTTGTCTTTTATTGTATAGGAGAATCACACAATATAGCATTCCATATATGAAGTATATATAACTTTATGCCTATACATATGCACCAGATTTTCTTTACCAGTCTCCATAGCTGTGATTGACTTTTAGGCTGATTGCTCAATCAATTAAGGGAATTCAAAGCATCTCCTCTACATACTGATTTCAAACCTTGAAGGGAAATAAACAAGTGCCATTAAGGGGTTAAATAGTAATCCTGTGTTCAGTAGTTAAAGGGACTTTCACAGTTTCCCCTACTGGTTGTTACTTAGTAGTCTATACATCTTGTCCAAGACTTAGCTTTGTCTTTTTGGTAATTGGCATGGTTAGTACACTATGATTATAATAGTTAGTGATAGGGACATTTTCTGTCTGTTAATCATATCTATTCTTTTCAAAAATACCTAGCAAAACCCCTTGCCTGTTTTGTATTTGGATTCAGGTAATCTCAGAGATGCTGTAAATTTGGCTGGCCTAGTAACTCATCCTAGCTACTCAGGATTGAAAACTGCCATTCCAGGTTCTAAGCTAGTCCAGAAGCTTATCTCCAATTAACCAGCAAAAATCTGGAAGTGGAGGTGTGGCTCAAGTGGTAGAGCAAGAGGGCAAAAAGCCAAGTAAGAGTTCAAAACCCTAAGTTCAAGTCCTAATATTAGCATGTGCACAATGCATGTGCACACACACAAACACACACACACACACACACACACACACTCACATAGACTGCAAGTTCAGTTTGAGAGCATCACAATAAGGTGAATATTGCCATAAAGCATGAACCCAAATTGCCATTCATTCCTATTTGACTTAATCCCCTCATTTCTTAAGTATACAGCGAGAGTCACAGAGACTAGTGGACATAAGAGGCTGTGTCTAGACACATGTTAGCTGTTTACAAATTGCCTGACCCTCCCAACCAAGATCTCATTCAGTTGTGTCACTGAGCTGTAATTGTACTCTCGGTTTTGTTTTCTGTGATACAATTTGTAGGAATTTAGCAATTCTGCTTCGTGTTGTAAAGAAAATTGTAAGGTGCAAGGTGGGAGAATTAAACTCAACTTTCCTCCATACAGTGACATCTACTGGGCTGTAGATTACAGTGATTTTAAAGAAGCTCTTCCCCTCTCTAGTGAAGCAAAGCTCTTTTCTCTCTGTGTTCAAACATTTACTTCATTGTGGTTGGGGGAAATACTTTTCACTTAACATCAAAATCATTTCCAGAGCTGAACAGAGAATATACCTGAAAATAAAGCTGGAAACACATTCCTAATGACTAGATCTGTAAGCCACGATTTTGGAGGGCATAATTTCCGAACAGCATTCCTCAATAAAATTATGAAATAATGTCTTGTAATTATGTTTTGGGGAAAGAAGGTACTGTGCATGATTCAATGTGGAGAGGTCTAAATAATTGTAGCCATTAGAACATTAAGGAAACACAGTAGTAGGTCCATTAAACAAAAATGGTTCAGTTTCTGAGACCAGAGTGTAGGTTTACCTCGCCTGACTTTGACAATTTGCTCACGTCCTTAACAAAACGCAACTCTTTGCCTTAAAAGGAGGCAGAGATTCTTCCCTTGCAAAAATTAAAAAGAAAAAAGAGAAACAACTGCTTTGCACTTTGATATTTAAAGCCTGTGTGCTTTTGCAAGAACGGCGGATAACACAAAACCTAGGAGCGCACACTTGCAAGTTGTTCGGTCACAGCGCGGGTGGCCCAGGGAAGCGCGTGGAGCAAAGCAGGTTCCGGGCCCCACTGTAGCGCATTCCCGCATCTCTGGGGCAGCCCGGTCCGCCCTCGTGGCTGTAGGCTCCCCGCCACCCTTTGGCCCGCGCGCGCTCTGGGTGGGGCCTCCTCGCTGCCTCGGGATGCGGCCGGGTGGGGTGCGCTGGGCGGGCGCTGCTAGCCGGCTGGGCGGTGCGCCGGGGCAGCTCCAGCCGCACGCCGCGTCGCTGTAATCGGACACCCGTGCGCTCACCCCCCCGCGCCTGCCCGGCTACTTTCCATTCACTCCGAGGTGCCCGATTGAACGACGCGGGGAAGGGCTCCGGGTGCCACGGCACTGCGGCGCTGAGAATTCCTTTACAAAGAAAGTCAGGGGATCCAGAAGAAAGAATCGCACTATTGGAGACGCACTAAGAATTAAGATCTGTGGAAAAGGACTCAGATCGGGGTATCCAACCTGGTAGCACATCGATGACTTGTCTGCGCTGATCTCTTCCAACCTCGGTAAGCTGGATTCGTTATTTTCAGCCTTATAAATACAGCCAGATAGAACTTTAGGGTGTATGGATTGACTTTCCATACATCGGTGTACTACTACAGTCTGGGCATTTTCTTAAGAACCCACGCGGTTTGTTGGGAAAGCATTCTTGGTGCTGCTGTGGGCCTGGCTGGCTGGAGTGGTTTCTTTAAACTGTGACACCTGCGGAGAGTTGAAAGTTGGGAGTTATTCCTAAGCTCTCTAAAGCAAAACGGGATCAAGGGAAATCCAAGATTCTTATTTATCATTAGTTTTCAATCAGCAGCAGGTAACACCAGGCAGCACTTCTAACTGCACTGCGAGTTACAAGGAAGACTCTGTAAGGTACTTTTGGGGGGGGGTGGAGGGAGCAGGGGTGGAGGATAGGAAAGCTAGACACTTGGCTTTCACCTTTCAGTGCTAGGCATGGTTGAAATTAGCTTGTTCTGGAGACTAGTTTATTTCATCTACAATATTCTTCTTTGCAATTTATTCTATGTACCCCTAAGGGATATATCTGATTAGATTTAGGTAATTGCTACATATGAAACACATGGAAATATTACCAGTATGTCTAACAGACTGAGGTGGGACATATTAATAGTTTTTATTTTTATTTATTTATTTTTCCTTGGCACTAACTATAAAGTCAATAAATCGAAGGGGCAAATTACTAAGAGAAAGTCACCCATAAAAATCAATTTTCTTCTAAGTGAATTTAGGGATGACAGGGTGAAGAGGTTGTAGAAGCAGGAAGAAACTGTTTCTTTTGAAAATTACCAACACAAATACTTCTAGGGTTTCCTCCCTCTGTGTGGTCAAAGAAGCAATAATGTTTCTTCCTTAAATCACATAGCCTTTGGAGAACCTGTGAAAGCAATTTAGAATTGTTGTTGCAGGTTGAATGTTTGGGCTAACTGCTCTTTTCCTCTTTATCAATGAAACAGTCTTCAGTGTTTAATGACACTTGTTCATTGAATAGAATCTATGATATCATTTCAATTAAAAAGCACATTATATTGGAGATAAGTATTGCTACCTGTAAAAGAACATTTCTAGATTACATTCTAACAGCATTTTACTGCATAATTGCTGTATAATTGTAAAAATGATGGGATTTCTCTTATGGTGTGAGCGTATTTTGCCTAGTGTTGTCTCCCCCTCCCCTCCCCTCCTCCTCCCATGCTTCTGGTTCACCTTAGCATGTCACTTGCTCTTCCTGGGTATCCGACATTAGTTAATAGCATGTATGAATTTTATGTGTACAATTTTAAAGATCCATACTTGTCTCTTTGATGTATCTATTGGAATTTTGACAGCCCACTTTCTGGTTGATTTATTTAAAATATGCACTGGTGGGATTCAAGACTCACTGGCTTACTCACCACTAAGCTCAGTGGTTTGAATTTGGCAGGAGGCCATGGTTACCTCATCCACATCATTGAACAGCTGCCTGGTCACCAGAATAAATTGCCACATAGCTAATTTAAACGATTTTACTAATCTAAGATTGAGTACACGGATTTATGTATAGAAAAAAATATCTCAGAGACAAGTGCTCCCAAAGAGTTAATAATTATGGAAGCAAATGGGCACACATGAAAGCATGTGTGGGATTTCTCTATTCATTCCTTGAGGAGGGAGCCCTCCTCCCTATTGGCACCTCTCTCAAGTCCTTTTAATGGAATAGAATTTTAGAGATCTCAGTTAAAGATTGGCTTCTCCTTTGGGAATCAACACACTTTAACTCACTGTTAATCTGCTTCCATATTAGCATTATTTTGGTGGAAGATGAAACAGCCATTTGGTTGTGGAGATTTGCAGACCCAAATAAATCAGTCTTTTCACATGTGAGATACTAAGTCACAGCACCTCCTACTGTTTACCTCTCTGAAGAATTTCAGCTGTAACTTTTGTGAATAGATAGTTCTGTCTAGATCACTGTGTTTTTGTACTCCTAGACTGTGAAATGAGATATCACAAACTTGTTATCTCTCCCTTAAAGGTATTTTCCCTTGGATATTGACTTCCAAAGCTGAAGAAATGGCGTTCCAGGCAATTTTCATGTTGGTTGGAGTACTCCTTTGTTCTATCTGTGTAAAAGGATCTTCTCAGCCCCAAGCAAGAGTTTACTTAACATTTGATGGTAAGAGAGTTTGAAAAAGAAAATTCTGGGAAAATGTTATCTGCAGTCTTATTTGGTTTCACTTTATCAAGATCATAAATTAGTCAATGAAAGACTGAATCTTGCTGAGGATGAACATGAAAAGCATTACTGGGGTGCTTTTGGGATGACAGTTATTGCAAATAATGGGTTAGTAGATGAAAGCCCCTCGAGATAATGTTTATGCAAATGTTTGAAGTATATACTGCCTTTTGTTTCTCCTTTAAGTTCCTTCTCTGTCTATATGTATATTCTTGGAGAGATAATGAAAAACTCAAAGTCAAGCATCTTTGATCTGTCTGGTCTCTTGGTTATAAGAAGAAACACCCTCTTCTACCAGCCCTCATTAGTAGAGCAATACTTTGGGTTAAAATAGGTTTAACTTACTAAGACTTTCTCCCAACAAATTAGATACATTAGCTTCAAAACTTTACTCTGTGGGTGTTCTAATGGTGTTTCTTCTAATATTTCTCCAGGGTTTCCTATGGTTGGTGTACTATTCTAATAATTTGAAAAGTACCTGCAAGAATAGTTGTAAATATGTTTATTATGATCACTATTATTATTATTTACAGATGTTGTCTTCAAAAGCTTAGAGGAAAGGATGCAATTTCAACTTGTTATATACATTAAAGATATAATATCCTCTGAAAGAATAGTTAACCAAATATGTGCATAGACTTTCTTTTCTTTTGTCTCTTTGTGTCAGTTCTGGGGAATGAACTCAGGGCCTCATGCTCTTCCTTGATTTTTTTCTACACTCAAGGCTAGCTCCACTCTACCAGATAAGCCACAGTTCTACTTCTGGCTCTATGTTAGTTAATTGGAGATAATATACTCACAGGTTTTCTGCCTTGGCTTGCTTTGGACTATGGTCCTCATATCTCAGCCTTCTCAGTAGCTAGTATTTCATGCATAAGCCACCAACACCTTGTCTTGTGCATGAACTTTCAAGTATGGATCTCATACTTATAGGTAGATTATTTTGGTGAGCCAAACAATCCATGTTAACTGGACAGATGAAATAAGAAGGGAAAGAAAAGTACCTTGCCATTCAGGAACATGGATATTTTTATTGCATTTTTTTCTTCTTTGCAGGAAATTCAGTTGTCATGGACGTGTTTTTACTTTCCTTTGATAGACTATTCTTTCAGACATTCCCATGTCCCTGAAATTCTTGGTTATCTTCAGTTTCAAATAGCACCATGACTGGCACTTATCAGTCCAAGGGCTATCTTACTTTTCTTTGTTTTTAAGTTACCAAGTGCTTCTCCAAGGTCATCACAAGCACTGAAGGAACCATAATTAGAATTTACAGCTTGTGAGCTTCTAATTGCTTCTTTAGTGTACAAGCTAAATTCCCCCTAACACCATACATAGGTCTGTAGTTAGGTTGTGATGGAAGGGGCAGAAAGCACCCTTGGAAATGTCTTTTTTCTTTTAGGAATTAGTAAAGTCTTATATACTGCCCCCGCTTTTTCTCCCATGTTGAGAACCAAGAAATATTTTATCAAATAAGACTAACAGTGTTAACCAAAATATAGTATTTTAAGGGGAGGCTTGAAATGGTGTAGTTCCTTAGAAAGACAAATTCACAGTCAAACAAAATAAATGCTAGGCTGTTACTTAAAAGGTGAAGGATAGGCAGAAAGGGAAGGGGGTATATAAATGATTAAGAGAGGAAGTGGGGAGAACACAGTCATAAAATTCAGTTTATATCAGGATATCTATGAATTAAGAAAACTGACAGAAGGGTTTGTGTTGGGTGCTACAGGGAGAATAATAAAGGAGGTGAGATCAGTCAAGATGCATTGTACTCATAAACTGAGGTTTGAATAGTAACTCCTTTGTAGAAGTACTTAAAGAAAATAAAAATAGCCAGGTGCCAGTGGCTTATGCCTGTAATCCTAGCTACTTAGGAGGCTGAGATCTGAGGATTATAGTTCAAAGCCTCCCCAGGCAGGAAAGTCAGTGCCCAGGCCCAGTGTACAAGCTCCATGACTGACAGAAAAAAAGAAAAAATAACAAATAAGGCATTGAGAAACTGGGTGCTGGTGGCTCACCCCTGTAGTCCTACATACTCATTAGGCTGAGATCTGAGGATCAAGGTTCAAAACCAGCCTGGGAAGGAAAGTCCATGAGACTCTTATCTCCAATTAACCACCAGAAAACTGGAAGTGGCAGAAGTGGTAGAGTGCTCACCTTGAGCTGAAGAGCTCAGGTGAGCTCAGGGCTCAGGCCCAGAGTTCAAACCCCACAACTAACCAAAACAAACAAACAAAAAAGGCATTAAGAATGTATAATTTCCTGTTTTTTACATTACTTCTAGTATGTAGGGAGATGGGATGGTCTAAAGATTAGACACTAAACAAGTTCTTCTACGAATTCAAACTATCCCCAAACTTATTTTTAATTCTAATTTTATTATCTTTAAGTAGTTGTACAAAGGCATTTATATGCAACATGGAAGTTTATAAGTACAGTATATCAGGAATGTTACCGTTTTCCAAATCTTTTATATAAATATTATCAAATGAGTTACTAAAAGTAATTCAGTACATTTATATTTGAAAAGACAGTTAAAATTATATTTCACAGAAGAAAACTCAGATTAATCTTTAGAATCAAATTTTCTCACTATGTGCAGTGACTGCTGTGTTTCACTGGGAGTGGGAGTTACAATGACCTTTTCAAATGTTGTATGTCTAATATTTTAGATGCTTTTAATCCCAAACCCAATACAGATCCTTGCAGAATAAGACCCACTTCCATTTATAGACTGTGGTCTTCAATTTTTGACATAGTGTTCTTTTCAAGCATATGACTGACAAATAATTTTAGAAGTCAGAGATCACTAAAATACTGTTTTAAAGGGAAAAAAACTGGGAAAAAGCAAGAGAAGAGGTGTCACTGTTCAAAAAGAAAATAACTCATTACTTGACTTATGTAACTGTAACCCTTCTGTATATCACCTTTACAGTAACAATAAAAATAAATAAAATAATTACAAATTTATAATAAAAGAAGTAGATGAAAAATAAAATTCTACTCATTCTAAATTAATAACTTTTTAAAACTCACAAAGTCTGGGGCTAGGAAGGTGGCTCAGTGGTAGAGCACTTGCCTTGCATGCCTGAGGCCCTGGGTTCGATTCCTCAGTACCACAAGCAAAAAGAGAAAAAGCCAGAAGTGGCGCTGTGGCTCATGTGGTAGAGCACTAGCCTTGAGCTTAGGAGCTGAGGGACAGCATCCAGTCCCAGAGTTCAGGCCCCACGACCTGACCCCTCCCCCCCCAAAAAAAAAACTCACGAAGTCTGTACTAGACAAGATGTAAAGAGAAAGATATCTAGCTGGACTCTGGCTACCCAGACAGTTTAGATTTTAGAATTGTGGTTCAAAGTCAGCTGAGCAACAAAATCTATCTAACCACTTAAACAGGTAAAACATGTAAAGCTATGTCTCAAGTGGTAAATGTCAGCTTTGAGTAAAATGCGAAGGGATACACTTTGTCCCAACACACACACACACACACACACACACACACACACACACACACTTTTTGCAAAAACTGTTGTTAAATTGTACAAAATTTCATTCATCAATTCAAGATGATTTTCTTATGTGACTAATTTCTCTCCAAAAACGACCTACTCTTGACATCAAAATATAGAAGTATGTACTGATTACCAGGTTTATTAGTGCACATGTTTTTAAACACATACGGATATTTACTTTCCTTAATTTACCTTATATTTCTCATATGGATATTTACTTTAATTTACCTTATATATCAATGAAAATTCAGGAATTAAAAGATATTTGGAAGAAATTCAAGTAATCACAAGTTTTATTAGGCAGAGGTCAATTGTATCCCTTGTTTGATATCTCTGTACATGTTTGAATTCTCAGAATTATTTACCTGCTTGATGTTTATTCTCAAAATCTTCTCTTACTATAACTGGGTTCTCTACCTGTCTCATTCTGGGGGAAACCTTAGAAGAATCTATTCTGTCTTGTCTTACTTTCAGTCCATGTAAGCTTTGCTGTCAATATGAAGGTGAGTGAAATAAGGTTTCTCCTTCCACCCACATTCCATTCTGTATTTTTGAGGTAGATTGATGGGGTGATAATGTTTACAAAACAGTGATTTACAGAGTTGACTTCCATGCTGATCTAGAGTAAGGTCAAGCAGATGACTATCAGTCTTATGTGAGAATGAACCTCAGATGATAATAATTAGTTACATTTGTGCTCCCCAAATCTTCCATGTGAAGAAAACTACAAATTCTATTAGTATTTTCTAATGGTTATAATTCCCATTTTATGTCAGTTTTCCAAATGTCATGCTACTGCTTTTTAACTTGAATTATTTGTAGGAGCAAAGTAATTTGTAGGAACAAAAATTGACATTTTTTTTCTCCAAAAGCCACTTTGGAATCTAGGAAAAGTAACCTTTGCCTGTATTCAAGGCAACCTTGTTTGCTAATGTTATCAGTGAAAAAAATGTTGAATAAATCTAGCTCTAATCCAGTAAATATTCTAGCATATATTGTAATTTAAAATCAGGAATAATGCTTAAATAGGGATACAGGTTAACCCATTGTAACAATGAGATGTACAAGACACTATGTTGAAAACAATCTTTACAACTTTGGTGGGCTGGAGGGGGAGTTGTGGAGGAGTTAGGGAAGGGATCATAGGGAAAAAACAAAAAAGGAGGCAACAATGCTGGATAGGAAATGTACTCATAACCTTGCTCATGTAACTGTAACCCCTCTGTACAGTAATTTTACAATAAAAAATGTCAAAAACTCAGGAATAAGTGCATCATAGCTTGATAACATTATGTCAGTTATTTCTAAAACTAAAGAAAAGGTTTCTGAATTACAAATAAAGCTATCATCTACATGTGAATTGATTTAAAAACATGATTACTGGATTAAGTATAATATTCTCTATTTAAAAATGTAAGCCGGGCACCA